CTCCCTTCCTTCCTCCCTCCCTCCCTTCCTCCCTGTTTTTGGAGAGATACAGGAATAGATAATAGATAATATATCTCCTCTTACAAACTTCAGATTCTTGTGCTAAATGTATAAGGATTCTGTAAGCCAGCCAGTCACATAGAAACATAAGGACAGAGTATACATGAACATCCATGCCCTCCTCTGATTTAGGTTTATGCATGCTGCAAGTGAATACTTCAACTCTAATGAAGTCTTGGAATGAGTATATGTATAATAATGGCTTGTATATTAATAACATGTTTAATTATAGAGCCTAGATTCAAATTGATGAAACTCACTAGGTGGCTAAGTCAGTCACTCATTCAGTCTAAGCTATTTCACTGAGTTGTTGTTGCAGAGATAAAAATGAAGGGAAACGTCCATGTATGCCGCCTTGAGCTCTTGGTGAAAAGGCAATATGTAAATCTGTGAAGTAAATAAGGAAATGAATAAAACTGTAAAATAGATGTTGATTTGATAATTATCTCCAGATGAGCACATATATGGGTGTATGTATGTAATATTTTAATGTAGACAGAGGGAGATGCATCCAGTCTTCTCCCATCCATTCAGAGAGGAGTGAAATTACAAGGTTTTCAACATGAGATCCATTTTTATTATCTATTTATTTTTTCAATTTGTAATCTATTATAATCTGCTAGGACTCCTGGTGATTAACAAACAAATATACATTATCTAAATGTCCAAGATACATATAAATACTATATCAATGTATAAATAAACAATTCCCCAGCCAAAATCAAAATTCAACAGCAATACAAAATAAAAAATGGGCATAGCTTTCAACTCACAAATCCCCTTCAGCGGAGCTACATTTTCAGCATTGTCCAAAGCAAACACCAGGAGGCTGTTCCAAAGAGAGGCAGTGCCACAGAAAACCAACACCTTCAGCCCCCCCACCCCCCATTTTATGAAAGTGGGATAAAACCAGCACCTGCTTCGGAGACAAGTCAGTCAGGTTGATTCTGGTAGGACAATGTGGTCCTAGAAGTTAACTTATATCTGGAAACCTGTGGAAAGCCAATGCAGGGCCCGAGCACGAGTGTAATATGTTCCTGGCAATGTATGCCAGCTAACAAATTGGGCACCGCATTTTGAAACAACTTCAGCTTTCTGATGGTCATAAAAGGGTGTCCCATAGGGAGCAGTAGTCTAGCTGGGGGAGGATGAGGATATGAATTGCTGTGGCTAAGTCCTTCTGTTCTAGATAGGGCTGCAACTGGCACACCAACTAGAGTTGTACAAAGGCCCATGTGGCCATGGTCTCCACCTGCCCAACCAAAAGTAGCTATGAGTATGGGAGGAGATTCAAGTTGTAGGCCTGCTACTTCAGAGGTAGAGCTTCTCCATCTAGAGATGACAAAAAATGCCACAATGCATTAAAATTAAATATCAAACTAAAATTCCTATATAGTAAAAATATAGGGTTAGAGATCTCCCAAAATTCTGTTTGTCATTTACAATTTTTTATTATCTCTAAAATTTGCAAGAAGAAATGTCTTGAAATACCCATACAGTATCTTTGCAGAAGACAGTTTCCTCTAACCTTTCATATTTGATGCAGCTTCAAACTGAAAACTGCTGAGCTTCAGTTACTACTCTTGTATTTTTAAGCAGCCCTTTCAGAATTTAAAGAAATAAAAATCAGGATGGCATCCAGCCTCCCAGACAATTTAAAAAATAAATCAGAAGAGGCAGAGAACCTGGTTGGATCCCAAGGGTATTTGCTAAAGGAAAAATGTGTTTTAGCACCTCCTTCGGTTCCTCACACGTCTCCCTTGGTCTGAAAAAGATAGCTGTAACCAGAGCAAATACAGCAGAAGATCTCTGGGAATTTTAAATGTTAGGTTAAGGATGCCCCTCCCAGCAAAGAAGACTCACACTCTTTCTGGATGTGGTGTTTCAGAAGGTTTTGTTCCTTGGAGAACACTGGAACGTGGATATTTACAGCAGCCTGAATAGCACATTCACATCATCATAGATCTCAACAGCTGTTTATATTTATAATGTATACACAAGAATTCCCTGAGTTGAGTTTAGACTTTTGAAATTAGGGAAATTGTGTGTTGCAGTAATTACATCTCTTCGTTCAGGGGTGTATTTCAATACGGAATGAAAAGCTAGGGAAAAAATATGAGCTAGCAAAAGCCCACGATTTAGTCATTCCCAACTTACTCTTAGAGAGAATCATCAGAAGGGAAGAGCAGGAAATGAGAAATTTGCTTACCAGTTCTTTAAATGTTGGTGTAAGTGGTTGTCCATAACAGGAAAGAAGAATCCTGCAGATAGTGGATATGATGTTTCATTTGTTTGCTATTTTTATAAAGAAAATTTCAAAATCTAGGAGCTGGCAGTGACCACCATGAGCTCAGCCTTTCCACTTGTATTAAAAAAAAAAAAAGAAATTAGGATTTAATTTTTGCCAGAGAGCTGCTGCTTAAAAAAAACCTCCCATTTCCTAAACATATTGTGTAACGGCAAATACATGATTAAATATGCTGCTAGGGCACCAGCTAAAAATATATCGCATAAAGGGCAAGAAACATTACTATTTAACTTTTTCCCCAATTGTTTTGATTTACCTCCCCATTTAGTGAACATAAAGGTAAAAATAAAAGTAATACAACAATAGTATATATTATTTTCAGAAAGCAAATGGCTATACTGATCTTCCCTAACTACACTATAAAACCCTTGTTAGGACAATGCTTTCTTATAAGTAAGTAATGAAGTTTAAGACAAGAGTAATACAGTATGTACTTCCTGGGGAAAGCCCCTGTTTCAAATATAGGGTTTTACATGATAAACATGTATTTTGGCTAAGTTTCTGCAGGCAAAGGTGATCTTTCAGATACACTGGTTTCAGACTACTCAGAGTTTTATCAGTAAAATCCAGCTTCTAGACTGTGGCTTCATTCAAACCAAAAGCTAATACAATTGATCCAAGCTAGGGTTATACCCTCTGCAAAGCACACATCAGCTAACAATCTCATTCAGGTGTTTCCGAATCTTCACAATGTCCTGGATGGATTTTAACTTTCAGAATTCTCCATAGTTACCATGCTGTTTGTGGAATCCTGGGAGTTGAAGTTCATGTTCCTGGAAGGTTTCAAGATTGGGAAATGGTGGTGTTTTGTTCTGCCTGAAGTTTCTGAATGCTTTTCAAGGGAAGTCCCATGTAGAATGGATTCCTATAAGCAACTTGTGTTTGAAGCATTCATTATTGTGGCTATACCTAACTTTTTCAGGAAGTGATACAGGTAGCCTATCTGATGTTGGAATTTTGTCAGTATTAAGCTTTAGTTTGTTAATCCATATTCAGTCCCACCCTGCCCAGATACAGGGCAGAATGTTTACAATCTCTTTGATACCTGTTGAAATTGAAAGCTAGACTTAATAATATCAGTTTTATATCCTGTTCTAAATCTCTGATGACATTTCCCCACTGTTTTGTGCAGATGCCAAACATTTATAGGACTAATCTCCAGAAATAAATAAAAGACAAAAGATTATTTTTCCTGAATGCTTGGACACGTTGCCTCCAAATCCCATAAAGATACCAGTATTACCAGACACTGGAAGAAGCTTCTAGAATGAATAGGAATGTACTAGTTGCCTAGTTTCCACAACAGTTCATTTACCAACGCTTATACAACATCAAAACATTTCTGCTGTTTTAAAGACATATTTAATACAGCATTTAAAGTCTATAGAGAAGCACAGAGATGACCTTAGAGAAGCTTCATAGTGAACATTAGTAAATATGAGTGTAGCCCGCGAAAAGAAGAAAGCATAAGAAAAACTCAAGGTTGTCCCACCTTGACTCTCTTTAGTGTAAGAGGGAGAGAAGGAGAAATTATGTTAGGCTTTAAAAATTCTGTTCTTATAGCCTAAATTTATAAAGTAGAATTCTAGAATTTCTGATAGCTCTGTTACCTGACCTGGCCTATCTCAAAGGGCTGACAGGGTCCAACCAGATGCCAATGGCTAGTCCCCAAGCAGGAAATTAGTGTCACAGCCTCTCCACTGAATTGCATTTGCACTATAAGTAATGTTCTCTGCATCCAAATTCTGTCTGATTATCATTAGGAACTTTGAAATAACTCAGTGATGAACTTGATAGTTTATAAGAAGCTTTAATTTCACTTGTTATGGATAGTGCAAAACTAAACTATGTGTAATAAAAAAGGAAATTAATGGCATTGAGGAAACTGGGAAAGGGCTTATCCATTATTGAGGTAAGTCCAATGAATTGGAGAGTAGGGCATTGCAAAGATTTAATTTATTTACAACAGTTCACATCATTTCCATTATGTCACTATGTAAATTGATGGAAATAACATTTGTGTAATGAGGTTATGATGCAAACTGCAGTGGAAATCTGGTCTGCTGCATGTGAAATCTGTGGCATTGAAGTCCAGTAAAATGAGGTTTCACTGTACAGTTTTTATAAAACTGCCATCACTTTGAGGTGTTAATAGAAGATTCAAGTTCTGCACATAATTTGTAAGTAAGAAACTTCTGATTATATTTAAAAGAGTCTATCAAACAGCAGAAGTTCCTTGATATACAGTAAAATCATTTTGTTGACTAATTGCACTCAGCAAAGTTTTGAAAGTGTAGGAGGAAATTAGAAGAATTTTGGAATAATGTCCTTTCTAACATTAAGGAGTAGGAGGATGCATTACAGACAATGAAATTTAATTACTGTTTTAATTACAGTACCCTCTTGAATTCTCCCTCCATATTTTATTATGCTTTATCTATAAAAGAGTTTAAGAATTACTTGGACATATGATACTAACAGAAGAAGATATATTATTTTAGAAATGGAAGAGTCTTTAGTTGAAATAGCCCAGTTCCACAGTATGTGCATTGCATGAAGAAGGTCCCACATTCTGTCCTAACAGTTTTCAATGTGTCAGGCTTAGGAGAAAATAATACCAATAATTTTATACAAAGCAAAGGTAGCCCCTTTATTTTTTTATGTAACAGTTTTTAATAATTTTATTTAGTTCCTAATGTTTGTTATCTGAGTATGCTATGTATTATCTTTATATTTTCTATGCAGTGCTGATATTTAATGAATTAATTAATAAACCAGTGATTCCTTTAATAGTGTAAATGTCTTCTTGGTCAACTTTTCCAAAGATATTAAAATAAAAAACTAAAATGAATCATTTCCAAAACATCACAACAGGATAGCAAGTAATGAAATATTACCTAACAAGTAGAAGTATTGTTTTCTGTTTCTGTTTAAGATAATTTAAAATAAAAGTATTATTTGCTTCTCCTGAATGTGGAAGGAGAGGAAGGGTGGAGGGAGAGAATAAATATATACATATATAATACTAAACCATCATAATCCATAGTCCAAAACCAACCTGGGGGAAAAAAGGCTTCTCTGTTCCTGAATGGGTTCAGTGCTGCTTTATATGGAATGTATCCTGGATATTCCTCTTGCTATTGGTTTTCACTTTATAACCTTTCTGTTTATTTTGCCAGAAGGCACCTGCTTCTTTTTAAAATTAGCTGTTGTTCCCCTTGTTTCCTCTTCACAACCGTTCTTTTTTTCACATCCCCATCTTATCATTAGGAAATCTTACTTGGTTTTGTCAGTTCACTTGGCAAAAGGGAAAGACTCCAAGGCCCTTGAATAGACCTGCATACAGGTCAGATCTAACATCCTTTCACATCTTGCTTAAGTTTCTTCTTCCCTTTCCCTGTTTGCAGTGGAAGCAGTTCTTTGGAACAAACGCCAAATTGCTGCTTTGTACCTTTTGTCTCATTTCCTGACAAGATCCTGGTGCCACTGTGAATGCATTTGCTTGAAAGGTGGAGGTCACCATCTAGAAGCGTGCCTGTTGCACTGCTTTGTCTGCATGTAACATTAGCTCTTGTTTTGTAAGGAGTGGTAGCCTTTGACACTGTGCAGCCAAGGGATGCTGACTTACATTCTGATCCTGCTGCTGTGTATTGCATACTGAGCAGAATTTGTACTAGCTGGTCCTTAAACAGAATATATTTAAAGACTATTGATGTGCCACTTCTCTTTACAAGGGGCAATAATTTATTCTTTTTGAACTTAAAAAGAAATTTCAGTGAGACAGCAGATGCTAAAAGCTGTTCTGAAAGCAAAGGTTTTCTACCTTAATTCTGTACAGCAAGGAAACCCAAATATATTATAGAAAATGACACCCTGTCTAAATTTTCACTTCAGTTAACTTTGTGGTTTCTTTAGCTATAATTTTGTTAGCTATAATTATCAAACTCTTGGTTCTGCATATGAAGTATTCAGTAATGGGGACCCTGACAAGAAATTTGGCTTCTTAGGAAAATCTCCTTTGGGAAATAGTATTTATTTTTAATGCTGGAGTTTCTGTAGAAAAAATTCATTTCAAGAATGAAATGAAGTCATTTTTGTCAAAAGCTTAAAAACTCAGACATAAAACCTCTACCACCACCATCACCTCTGTCAGAATAATGCACACTTTATACAGTGGCTTTTACAGGTAGTCCTCACTTACTTAACTACGGTAATTGGGACCAGAATTTCCATTGCTAAGCAATGCGGTCATAAAGCACAATGTCACATGACTGCGCTGCTTAGTGATGGCAGTTCTGGCAGTCCCTGATTACCATCATTAAGCAAGGACCTCATGTGACCGCAACTTCCTACTGGCTTCCCCATTGACTTTGCTTGTGGGAAGCCAGAAGGGAAGGTTGCAAATTGCAATCACGTGATTGTAGGATGCTGCAATGGACCAAAATCTGGGCCAGCTGCCGAGCACCTGGATCATGATCATGTGACCATGGGGATGCTGTGATGGCTGGAACTTCTTGGACCAGTTGTAACTACCACTCATTCAGCGCTGTCACAAGTTCAAACAGTCATTGAACAACTGGTTGTTAAATGACCACCTGTATTACTATCCACTGAATTTCTTTTGGTTTAATTATCAGATACAATTAATTTCTCACAAACTGGTAGTTGACTTGAAAATAAATGAGTTAAAAATAAGATTAATAAATGTTTTACGTTCAGAGACATATGAAGTAACTTGTCTACTAGGGCTGTGTAAAGCCTTTGAGGGAGGTTTGTCATGACTGTGAGAGTACAAATAAAGCCCTTTTGAATTATAAAAGCAGCCATGTCTTCTGTATTTTAGTGGTCCCCCCAAAAATTTGCAGGTACTGCAACTTCACTTTGCTCTGAAGAAAGCCAAGCAAAGTGATGCATATGTAGAGACAGCTGGAACCAAACAGCTGTCTAAAACAACTGCATGCATAAGCCTGGAAAAAGGAGGAGCTGTTTTTCATTATTAGAAAAGAGGTGCTTCATACATGCTACTGCACATTGTAAAGAACCTCTTCTAAAAACTTTGCACATCCCTATTATCCCTATATCTATAATTTGTATAGTGGTCCTGTTGTCCAGCAGAGTGAAACAAGTTGCTGCAGTTAGCATGATGAAGGAAGAATTGGTGTTTGAATGTACAGTAAGAAATGGTAGTGTACTTGGTTCCACTTCAGTTAGCAAAGCTGTGATTTTTGGCATGATACATTCACTTATAAAAAACATGGATTGCCATACATGCTAATGCTGTATACACATGGTATATCTTTAGGCTTACATTATTTAACTGGATAAAGTGTATTGTTGCAGACTTTTAAGGGATATTTGCTTAAAGAATATATAGTGTCATTGCTTTGAACTAATGAAAATATTGACTGGCTATTTGTTTATGTTTTCCTTTATAATGCTAATTGGTTTTATTTGCTTTCCTGATTTAGATTTGAAGAAAACTCTTGCTGTCTTACTGGATAATATATTGCAGCGTATTGGGAAGCTTGAGTCTAAGGTTGATAACCTTGTAATCAATGGCACAGGTGCAAATTCTACAAATAGTACCACCACTGCAGTTCCTAGTTCGGGAACAGCTGAAAAGCTGAATGTTGCAGGTAGGTATGAAAACTGTTTGGTTTTGCCCTTTAACTTCGTACTATAGCATGATATAAAATAGCCTAGAAGTAGATATTTTTTTA